TGTCACTGAATGTGTGGTGTTTTCTGTTTCTTTTCTATACCAAAGGACAAAGGGTTACTAAATGCAAGGGTGGACCTTAAAGGAGCCGTGTTACCGCCGGAAGATCTGAGGATTTGACCCAGAGGAAGCTTCATGGGCAGAAAGAACTGCAGCTATAGCAGCATTAGAAATTAGAAGTGTTTATAGAAAAAGCCAGCGTCCATTTTGTTGTCTGAGGTCAAGTTACTAGAGTTGCAATGTTGTTCCTGTTAGTTGCCGTGGAATCATTTCCAACTCACAGTGACCCGATGGACAATAGAATGAATCCCTCGCTGCTCAATCCTGCACCATCCTTACAGTCCTTGCTAAATTTGACCCTGTTGTGTCCGTCCATCTCGTTGGGGGTCTTCCTCTTGCTTACTGACCTTCTTCTTTACCAAGCATGATGTCCTTCTCTAGGGACTGGTCTCTCCTGACAATATGTCCGAAATATGAGAGACGAAGTCTGGCCATCGTGGCGTCTAAGGAGCACTCTGGCTGCACTTCTTCCAACATACATCTGTTTGTCCTCTGGCACTCCATGGCACTTTCAATATTCCTCTTCAACTCCACCATCATCCTAGCGTTTCCAAGACCAAGACCCAACCTCATCTCCATCAAATCTTTACTAACTCATAGCAAACTTAGAGCTGATGGTAATTTTGAAATGTTTTCAGCTGTCATGAGGACTTAAGGCATTGAAATAGATCCTAAAGGTAAAATTGATTGAAGAAAATATATTCTTTATTTAGAACTACTGGAGCCTGGGACACTAAGGTTTCCAAATGTCCAGAGACTTAGGGCAGGCATTTGCTTATCTATAGTTAGTACCTTTTCTAGAACTGAAAGGGCCCTGATGTCACAGTGGATTACAAGTTGGATTGCAAACCTAAAGGTCAGCAGTTTGAACCCACCAGCCGCTCTGCAGGACGTAAAGGAGGCACTCTGCGTAACGGTGGCAGCCTTGGGAACCCTGTGGAGCAGGTCTTCTCTGTCCTGTAAGGTTGCTAAAAGACACAATAAACTCGACAACAGTGAGCATCTAAAGTAAAAGATCCCTGATGGCTCATCAGTTAAACACCTGGATGCTAACCTAAAGGTCGGCGGTTCGAACCCACCCAGCAGCTCCACGGTTGAATAGAGCTGGGAATCTGCTCTCATAAAGATGACAGCCTAGAAGACCCTATGGGGCAGTTCCAGTCCGTCACATGAGGCTTCTCTGATCCGTAGCTGACTTGATGGCATACATAAACAGCAACTCCGCAGCAAGTTTTCCAGGAGCATGGTGGATCCATGAATCCTTCCAAAGCCCGCCACTGCAGGATGGGATTGCTGAAGTTGAGTGAGGTGACAGGCCATTCCATCCAGTCTTGTGGTCAGTAGGTGCTGTTGGCTCAGTCCCAACTCATACCAACCCCACCTACAGCAGACAGAAACACTTCCCTGAGTCACCTTCATAACCATTGCTGTATCTGAGCCCATTGCAGCTGTCACTGTGCCAACCCATCTTATTGGAGGGTCTGTCTTTTTTGCTGATCCTCTACTTTACTAAGCTTGATGTCCTTCTCCAGGGACTGATCTCTCTTAAGAACACATCCAAAGTATGAGAGCAAAATCTTACCGTCCTAACTTCTTAAGGGGCATTCTGATTATATTTCCTCCAACACAGATTTATTCATTCTTCTGGCAGCCCGTGACATAGTTAATATTCTTCTCCAACACCATAATTCAAAGGCATCAATTTTTCTTCGGTTTTCATTATTCACTTTCCAGCTTTTGCATGCATGTGAAGAGATTGAAAATACCATGGTTTGGGTCAAGTGCACCTTAGCCCTCAAAGTAGCATCTTTTCACAAGAACTCTTTTGCAGCAGATTTCCCCCCACATTTATTGAATCCACGCTTCCTGCTAATCACTGCGCCAAGTGTCTGCAACAGAAAGGTTTAGTGAAGATGTAAAAGATTTGTGTTGAGGGCTGACTTGTACCTTCAGAAAGAAATGTTGAAATCCTAGCCACCACTATCTGAGAAGGTGACCTTCTTTGGAAACCGGGCCTTTGTACATGTCATCTAATGAAAATGAGGTCGTCATGGAGACGGCTGGGCCCAGATCCAAGGGCCAGTGTCCTCATCGAAAGAGGAGGAGGGGCACAGGCACACACACACACAGGAAGGTGCAAACACCCAAAGGCAGATTGACAGATGCCCAGGGAAGATGGCCACGTCCAGTGGGGGGTGGGGGATAGGCAGGAAGAGACTGCAGGGGTAGGTCTACAATCCAAGGGATGCCAAGGTGTTGACAATTCAGTGATTATTCTGGAAGATTGGCATAGAGGGGGATTTGCATATAGTGGGGGATTTGCATACAGTGGAAATTTGCATACAGTGGGGTATTTGCATATTGAGGAGAGTGGTCCAGGGAGAACATTGAGAACAATAATTTTGAGAAAGGGTTGTTGTAAGTAGTTGGCAACTAAGACATGATTTGTAATAGGTCAGAGTTTCACTAGGATTCTGGTGGTGCAAACGATTAATCACTTGACTGCTAACTTGAAGTTTGGCGGTTCAAATCCATGCAGAGCCGCCACAGGAGAAAGACCTTGTGATCTGCTTGCAAACATCACAGCCTTGAAACTCTTTGGAACCATTCTGCTCTGCACACATGGGTCAGTCAGAATGGAAACGCACTTAAAGACAACCAACAGCAATAGGTAGGTAGGTAGATAAGTAGGTAACTAGGTAGATAGATGGATGGGTGGATGGATACATGGATACAGATGATAGATACATGCAGTGA